TATTGGGTCCTGGTGTTGTTTGAGTTTTGTATTACAACTTTATATCTTTCATAGTATGTTTCGAGTTAGTAAAAGTAATCTTATCGTTTGAGTGTCTTTTGTCCCTTATGGCAGTGATTCTCAAACTTTTTTCAATAATGTACCCCCTTTGAAAAGAAAATTCCGCCAAGTACCCCCTGATCAGCGCAAAGACAATTTGTTAGGAAATAAATGCCTATATAAAGAGGTACAGTACAGTGCTGCACCATCGGTGTCTGATTTACATTGTAACTGAGAAACACTTAAATGCTACATTTCAAATGTTTAAAATCCATCACTAAATTCATGGCAAACTAATTTTAACATCATGCAATAACACTGAGACGACATGAGTTGCATTGAACTGATCTTTTGAATAAGTTGTACCTACAATGTAGTGAGAAACATGGGCTTGTGCTTCACTGAGGATCTTTGTCATTCTCAGTGACAGGGAGGCCACTGCAGTTATTACAACTTAGCGTTTTGAAATATGTGTAACTCTGTTCATATAAAACCCACACTGCTCAAACTTCGTTACTTTTACTTCTTTTTTCATTAACATAAAATAAATCTCACGTACCCCCTGCAGTACTCCAACGTACCCCTAGGGTTCCGCGTATCCCCATTTGAGAACCACTGCCTTATGGAACCAAAAAACCAAGATAATAACAATGAATCAATTACTATGTGTGATGTAAAAGGGGTTGCTCGCATGTGGAGAAAATGATCACCAAACTTTTCAGCACCTTTCAGCTTATTGTCTCTGTTTGACTGCAGCTTCAGGGAATTTGTGGACTCTCGTGGCTCTAAAATCACCTTTTTTGGCCACACCCATGGGAAATAAAACGAAAGTCCTGGAGGTGAACTGTTTTAGGATTTAGCATCCATTTTAGGAATAAATGTGCTTGAAAATGGATGGCAGTGAGTAGAGTCAGTTTACTATGACATATTTTTATGGCATTTTATAAAAGATAATACAAATATCGAGTACTACCAGCTTAACCGTATTTAATTTTGTCTTAATGTACATTATCTAATTTCATATTCTGTTCTTGTAGATATCATATTCTATCTACATGTATATAGACTTTGTGCACAATTTAATTTTTTATATTTGTATTTTATCATATATAATAAATAATAATAATAATGCATTTTATTTATGAGTGCGTTTCAAAGCTCTCAAGGACACCTTACGGAGCATAATTAAAAACAAGCAACAAAGAAGATCACACAGTAATACAAGACTTAAAAAACAAAGATTTAAAATAATATATAATAATAATATGTTGCATTGTTGGAGGAGCTCAGGTCAGAAGAAATTCCTTGCCATTTCTACACGCTTATGTGCATATGACAATAACACCTTTGAATTTGAATGAACCAGAAAGCATGTGTAACTAAATAAACTTGTCTGGACTTTGTGTTTCCCTCACCAGGCGCTTTAAGGCCTACCGCACTCTCAAGGAGGACCTGATCGTGTCTTCAGGCCCGCATGTCGACCGGGGTCACGTTGGCTCTGGATCCTCGATGTTCTGGAAGCTTCTGAACAGACAGGGAACCGTGGACGACTGCCCTCTGCTGCAGGACCGGCCCGTGTGAACCAGCCTCACATCCCCAAATACTGAGAAACTTGTGAACCGCAAGATTTCTGCACCTGAGATGTCTTTTTATACTTTTTTTTTTACATGTTTTCTGAATAAATATTACAATAACGGGTGTAATATTTAGATGTTTCGATCAAAACATCCCTGCAATTCACTTCTAGACATGCTCTGATCTTTTGTACCTATAAGTTTATCAGTACAAATTGTATACTTTCATTTGGACAAAAAACTAAATTCGAATGTTTGAATAAACTTTGCTCAAAACAATCTTACATTGGAGTCATCTGTATTATTGACATACACTGTGGTAATGAATAAATGCTATATGTTCTCAAGTACAAACTAATTATACCCAGCTTCTGAATTTAGCCAAGAAATTAATAGGCATTTTTTTTAAATGTTTTTAGAAGCTAAACAATCGTTCAGCTTTCCTTCCACAAAGTGTTTATTTACTACAGCTTGCAGTACTCATTACTATTACACTTTTAAAAGTATACATCTTCCTGCATAAATGCTAAAAAGGTAAATATTTAAATGATCGGTGTTCTGAGTATTAAACATTATTTTGTGGTATAGCTCAAACTATAGATTTTCAACATTTAGTTTGACACTCACTATATATTTAGATTTGAATTCATAAAAGACAAACACATTCACATGTCACAGGAATTTTATTGAGAAGACAGACAAAATGGTAATCGACAAAACATCCATAAAATGTGTTTACTGATTAACAACTTTGTCCCTTTTTTAATATTCCTCTCCCTCTTCCTCTCCCTCACCCTCAATGGAGTCGACTCCAACCTCCTCGTAATCTTTCTCCAGAGCGGCCATGTCCTCTCTGGCCTCAGAGAACTCTCCCTCCTCCATACCCTCACCCACATACCAGTGCACAAAGGCACGCTTAGCGTACATCAGATCAAACTTGTGGTCAAGCCGAGCCCAGGCCTCTGCAATAGCAGTGGTGTTGCTCAGCATGCACACAGCCCTCTGGACCTTGGCCAGGTCTCCACCAGGAACTACAGTGGGCGGCTGGTAGTTGATGCCCACCTTGAAACCAGTGGGGCACCAGTCCACAAACTGGATGGAGCGCTTGGTTTTGATGGTGGCAATGGCAGCGTTCACATCTTTGGGAACGACATCACCACGATACAAAAGGCAGCAGGCCATGTATTTACCATGGCGTGGGTCACATTTCACCAACTGATTGGCTGGCTCAAAGCAGGAATTAGTGATTTCTGACACTGAGAGCTGCTCGTGGTACGCTTTCTCTGCAGAGATAACAGGGGCATAGGTGGCCAGAGGGAAGTGGATACGGGGATAGGGCACCAAGTTGGTCTGGAACTCTGTCAGATCAACATTGAGGGC